TAGGTAGGGCTGGGCACGGTCCTCCTCCACAGCCCCCAAAGCACCATCACCGCTGCCACGTGTATGCCGAGGGAGAGATGGAAAACTCCTCCCAGCTTCGTGCAGCTGCAACTGATTCAAGGCCACCTCCAATGTCCCAATGGTCCTCCAAAGCCACCCCAGGTAGTGGCAGTCGAGGCTGCCAAGTCCTACAGGTGGCTTGAAGTCTTCCAATGTCCTGGGACATTGCAGCCGCAGTGAATTTCCGGGCAAAGGTACTCATTAAGAAGAGAAATCTCTTCCTAAGCCCAGTGTTCAATCTCACCACTTCCTAGGGTCACTAGGAGGAGATGTTCCTGGCGGCGCTTGAAGGCTCCGCCTGAGCCTTCCCAGCCCTCTCTCACCACCGCAGCTGAAGGCAATGAAGACAATGGCCGGGAGGAGATGTTCCTGGCAGCGCTTGAAGGCTCCGCCTGAGCCTTCCCAGCCCTCTCTCACTGCCGCAGCTGAAGGCAATGAAGGCAATGGCCGGGAGGAGATGTTCCTGGCGGTGCTTGACAGCTCCGGCTGAGCCTTCCCCAAAGCTTCACTATTTATATCTAACCAAAGCTTCACTATTTATATCTAAATACATTTAGGTTATGCATATGACATTGTAATTTGAAGGTATAACTTTAATCTTGCTAGTTGTTTTATGTCACAACTATTATATCAGCAGTATATGGGAATTATGAGTAACATTGTTGCAAGAAAGCATTACTAGGGATTTTGTATGGTGTGAAATGGGAGGAGGAGCTCAATGGGGGGGTTGACACCATGAGTTACCACACCAGGTGACACAAACCCTAGGAAAGCTACTGATTCTGTCCAATTGTTTTGTGAGAATAAGCATGTCCCTGCTTTTTGAGTATGTTCATCCAAGAAGGTCAGGCCTAAATAAGTGAAATGAATTGGTGTTAGATCAGCTTTGCATATTTTAGTGTGCACAACATAGGGCCTTTTCCAGCCTGAACCCACAGTAAATGCAACTTTAAATTTATATTTCTTGAACATTTTTACTCTGTATTTTTACGTGAAAGTTTATTCCTTCTACTTACAATGATGTGTTTCTTTTAACTAGAGTCAATACATTTTGGGAACATAGTTCTTTTTGCAAATGGCCCTTTTGGCACATTTTCCCTATGCTTTTCCTCATTTGCTAATCAATGTAACAAGAATAGTATTCTAAATGCCTGTGCATAAAATGTTGCTATTGGAAGCTATGCTTTACGATGAGTTGTGGAAAGAAAGCAGGTTACAGCCAGCCCTGAACCAATCAGGACTGAGCTGGTGACAGCCAATGGGATTTTGGTCTGTAAGGGGGAAATTCCATTAGAAACAGTTGGAAGTCAGTTAGGGTTTGAATTCCAGACAGTGGGGGGTCTGGTGGAGAAGGTTCCAGAGTGGAAGAGGGTTAAGGTCCAGAATAGAGAGAGGGGCCTAATACCCATAATACACTCCAAGGGAGGAAGTTAATAAAGAGAATATCCTGAGGGGTATTGATA